TACTTGGGAGTCTCTTGCTCTTTTCCCCCTGATATTTTAATCAGGAAAACGATGGTGTTGCTCAAGCATTAAAAATGTTAGCGTCTTCAGTCACGTCTTGTTTTCCTTCTCTTGTAAAATTTTAGAAAATACAGATGCTGGGCTAACTCCTGACTGCCCCTCACCCCCTCCTGTAACTCCCATTGGGGGAGCAGGATGGGGCAGAGTATCTGTGCAAAGTCAAACAGAAAAAGAAACAGTTTTCACTGACAGTTGAATTAAAAGCCTAACAATAAATCTGGTGTCAGGCCACCAAAACTCTTTTTTTTTTTTTAATCCCTCTGTACCTTATGGTATTTCAGAGGGAATTATCCAGAAATAAGGACAACAAAAGTGTATTTACATTGTAAAGGAGAAACACATTGACAGGGTAATTATCTTCTTTAAAAAATAAAATAAAATCTCTCTGGTCACAGTGGTGACCTCTAGGGAGAGGACCTGGGAGGCTGGGAACCACAGTGGGAGGGGACTGACTTTTGCTGTGTCCCCTTTGTACCTCTTGAATTGGGTATCGGAAGCAGGTATTAACTTCTTTTAAAAAGAAGTTAATAGACATGTGTACGGTGGTTTTTTTTTTTTTATTTTTTTTAAGTACAGTAATGCACGTGTCTGTACTAAAATCTTAAGGGACCAAGCTCATGAAATAAGAACCATACCACCTCCTTTTGTTAGTGCATAAGGTTCTTATCACTCCTCCCTTGTCTCACTTTCCGTTTCAGAATCCAACTTTATTTGGGGGTGGGGGATGGGGGCGGGGGTGCACAGGAACTCCAAACCGAAAACCTGCTCCATTTTGTCCACGAGTAGGACAGTCAGAAAAGCCTTGGCCACGGTCCCCAAAGCTAGATTAAATACCCATGGAAAAGAAAAACACCTAAAGGTCTTCACGAAATGAATCTTTCTACAGCGTTCGCATGGCTTGTAGTCCAAGGGTCCTTCCCGGCTTCTCTAGACTCTTCCCGCCCGGGTCTTCACCGAACTGAACGGGAGGGGCGGCGGTGGAGACGCTGCATTGTGAGTGCCCCGCGGGGGGGGGGGGCGGGGAAGGGGGGGGGCTTCTGCGGAGCCCCCGCCCCTGGTGAGCTTCGCCCCCGCCCCACCCCCCCGCCCCGTCCTACCTACGAGGGTGTGACTAATTTAGACATTTTTCTGAAGCATTTATTCAAATCCATTCTCTTCCTGAGTCAGGATGGACTTTGCTCATCTTATTTCCTTGAACGATTTCCACCTTACATGGATGAGCAATCGCACTGAAGCACATTTTCCTCCGGAGCCCAAGGTGGATAAATATATGCTTACGCAGACATAAATAAGATGTACAGTGTGCGCCTTCCTTCCCAAATGACGAGGCACCCTGGCTTTCTTTCATTCACTGGATTCAGCGTTGGAAGATCTGTAATTGGATAAATAGCAGCAGGATCTACTATGGGGTTCTCTCTCTCCCTCCCTCTCTCTCTCTCTCTCTCTCTCATTCTGTTTCCGTCTGGCTCTGAGTCTGACTTGGGAGGTGAGCCAAGGACCCACTAGCGATCAGCCCAAAAACCCAGGCAGGTCCACTCCTGAAACCTGAGTAGTGACAGATTCAGCCCTGACCTAACACACCAGACTTGAGTGACAAAAAGCCTGATTGTGCAATTTGCTCAGGAAGATGACCTAAAGCCAGTCCCGTGTTTGCACTCTACACACTAGAAAATGTGGAACGTGTTTTGGACTCTTCTGCACAAAGCGCCTTTTGCGGGTTAACGTGTCTTGAACTGTTGGGCCTTTTTTAAAAGAGGTTGTATTTTGAGAACAGGCGGTGAAAGTTGGGATTTTTCTCTTCCTCCTCTTTTTTTTTTCCCCCTCCTGCTTTAAAAACAAGATAAGCCTGTATGCAAATAGAGTCCACGGTAACCACAGTAACATTCTCAACTTTATTTATTGAATTGCAGAGTCTTCCTTCACCCGTTTAAGCTCTATTTGCATACCTTTAACATTAGCAACATTTATTCCAGTAATGAGTCATTTGAGACATCTTCTGGGTTTATAGCTCTGAGCTGGATTCAACATCAGTAATGCCGGAAGAATGGATGTCTTCTGTATCAGAACTCGGACTGTTTATGTGCAGAGAGAGACAGAAAGACACAGAGGTTTAATGTCTTTGTTTGTTTTTTCTTTTAATTCTAAACTTGAAATGCACCCAAATTAAAAATAATATTTGAAACATACTTAGTTATACATTTCACACACTGAAGGAATGCACTATGACATTCTCATTCTATAAAGAGATAAATGACACATTATTCTTTTCTAGTCTCTTGAAGAAGAGTAATAGCTTTGGACATATTTTGAATATTTTATCCAGCTTTAGAGAGAGATAATGGACTCATAACATTGTGTAAGTTTAAGGTTATATTGATTTGAGGCTTTATATTTTGAATATTTTTAAATAGAAAAAGAAAAGGAAAGAGAGAGAAAGACAACCTCAACGCTTTTCTCAGAAAGAACAGGAAGCCTGAAGGAGGAAGTATGTCACAGGTTATTTTGTTATTTTTCAGCAAGCCCGTGTTATCAACTGAATGGAATTCCTTCTGGGGAAGCTATAAAAACCAAGATCGGAGGATGGCTGGATTCGGAGAGTACACAGAATCCTCCATATTTAGAACCTTCTCCCCAGCTAAGTTATTAATGAAAGCCAATTATCGCACTTTTCCAGAAGGAAACACTGAGTCATTCATGAAATGGTCTAAGATTTCGAAACTTGCTTACACCATTTTTTTTTTTTTTGCCTCCTCCTTTCCTACCTACGCCAAAAGCAGGCTCAGAAAAGCCAACCAGCCCTGGCCGGGTGGCTCAGTGAGTTAGAGCGGTGTCCTGCTGGGCCACGGTTGAGGTCGGATCCCCGGTCAGGGCACATACTAGAAACAAACAATGAATGCATAAATAAATGGAACAACAGATCGGTGCCTCTCTCCCTCTCCCTCTTTCTCTCAATAATCAATAAATTTAGAAAAAAAAGTCAATCAGTAGCTGGAGTAATTGAACAAAGACTCCTGATGCCCTCAAGGGTGACTGTCCCATCAGGATGACAGGCTCAGATGCGTCTCCACTACCAGCTTGGGTCCTGAAGGGAGGGGCCTCTGTCCCCCCCGGGGGGGGGGCGGGAGCGGGGGCTATGATTAACTAGCTCTGGAACAGCCATTATTTGTCCATACCCTTGGCCCGCCTCCAGGTTTCAATGTGGGACAGCAAATGGGCGTGGGCTCCCAGATAGGCAGGCCCGTGTTTTTAGGAGATGTTACGTATTTATGGCCAGAGCTCTACAGAATTTGGCCAGAGATGGGGTACAGATGAGGCTGTGTTTGGGGAGGAAACACCAACTTCTGGATCCATTTGTCAAGGGTACTTAAGTCTTTATCAAGAGGACAGGTCCATCCTTGTTCAAAGACAGTCACATGTTGTGTCAGGAATAAACTGTGAGTGAGGTGAATATTGAGTGTAAACTAAAACTGAAAACAAAACAAAACAAAAAACCTGTCAGTAAGGTGGCTTTAACCTCGGGACAGCGTCCCCTGTCTCTTTCTTGCTGAGGACGAATATTTCCGGGCACCTGTTGATCACATGTAACTTGGGAGAAATTCACTAGGCAAAACCAACCAAGTTTCTGAATAGGCCCAAAGGAAGCAGCTTATTTCACCTTTACAAGCAACTGCAAATCCACGTAGATAAATAATACAGACAAGAAAACAAAGGGTTGGATCTGGGCAATCCAGAAAAGCCTGGAATTGTGCCTCCTTCACGTAAGGCCTAATGTTTACATTGGTCTATTAAAAGGATTTTACAGATACAATATCTTAATAGCACTCTGCAAGGTAAGAGTGGACCTGGGAGAGACGGTCACCTTTGCAAGGTCACCAAGTTAATCAATGGCAGAGCCCAAACTTCAGTCCCGGACTCCTGGCAGAGATCCCCTTACCCTACCCCACCCTCGCCCTGTCCCTTGTAACCTGGGTGTGAATGTCCCTATACACCCCGACTTCGTGGCTCCTGGGCCGGTGGCTCAGGCGGTGCTTTTGGGCTCCTAGAATTCCCAAGGAACATTCAAGTCTTGTTTCTACTTCCTACCTTGAAGTTCCTCGTCCTTTTTCACCTATTTGAGAAGGAAGTTGTCTAGATTCTAGCAGTTGTGTAAAATGACTTCCTCTTTCTCTCCTTGAATTTGTTTTGGTATTATTGTATCCCAACGTTTTGTTTTTTTTTCTTTAAAAATCCCAGATTCTGCATCACCTAATGAGGGACTTTTTCAAAAACCCTTTCTCATCCACCGAGGTGTTCCTAACAATCCTCAGTGATTGTTTTAATTTCCTCTTTGTGTGTGTATATTTTTCACATTTTTTTACAATGATTTTTTTTTTCTGTCATTTAGGACAAACATTATTTTTTAAAACCCCCTTATTTTGGGGTATTCCACACAAGGGGTGGTTATCACTAAGGCCAATAGAAAAATATCCCCGAGTTTCCATGACAAACCATTAAGCTGATGTTGACGGCTGGCTTAGAATATGCCCCGTAAGCACTGGTTAAAAATGGATGATTCTGGTGCCGCCTTCCTCCAGTGATTTTTGTAAAATACCTAGGAGACCTTGAACGTTCTGTTACGGAGTTTACAATCAGGGCCGCGGGAGGGAGGACTACTGCTTTATTACTCAGCTAAAAGTCCCTTTGGCCCTAAAAGTCCCTCCTCCCCCTGCTGCAGGCTGGGAGAAGTCAGCATTTTCTCTCTCCCTTACAGGCACTTTTACCGGGCAGAAGAGCTGCCTCCGGTGAAGGATCCCATTTTCAGAATATGTAAAAGAAAACATGGTTCTTTAAGTAAACGACTTCCCTGCCCCGCCCCCCGCCCCCCGCCCCCCAAGGTTACAGATCGCTCCCTGCTGAGTGGACTCTTATTTCGGAGCAGCAGCTATTGGGGGAGGGGGACTTGTCCCCAAATCACACCGGGATAATGGCAAACATTTTTGTAGCGTGCTATTCTTCTAAGGTTTTTTTATATGCATTAGCTCCGGGAATCCCTGCCACAGCCCCGTGAGGCAGATCCCATTGTACAGCGGAGTAAACTGAGGCACGGAAGTGCGAACTAGCCCGTCGGGCGCAGCTTGCTCAGTGGCCAAGTTCTGAGTCATCGTTTGCTGCCTTCAGGTGGTGGTAACGCAGCCCGCAAACCTTCCGTGGAGGTAGCTCGCTGACCTGTGTCCCAGAGGCAGAAATGTCTTCAGCTGTGCCAGGAGTGTCGGTGAAACAGAGGCTGGGACCGACAGGAAGCCACTGAGAAAGGTGTGTGACTCCGATCTGGGCGAACACCTCACTTGTGCTCATTAATGTTTCCTTTAAACCTTCCGGCCAACTCGGTGGTCAGTCGCTGCAACGCAAACAGGGTGGGGGGGCCCTGGCACAGTGAGCTCAAACAGAAAACGTGACGTGTGTTGAAGAATAAAGGCTGCAGTGCTCTAGCTTTGGACACACAGATTTATTCGGGTTCATTTTAAAGGCTTTTAAACTTAAATCACAAGAGGTTAAAACTTGGAGGGTTTTATTCACTAGATGAAGGGCTCATAGTTACAGTCTTCAAAAAAGAAAAAAAAAAAAACACTAAACCAGCAACCAACACACAAACTAGAAACAAACAGAAAAGGAGAAAATAAACACAACGAAGCCAACGACAAATTAGACCTAGCCATGATGCCTGAGAAAACGTGTTTGACTTCATTGCATTTTTTTAGTGACTCAGATGTCCAGAAACAAGAGTTTAGTTTCATCTTTAATATATGTTAGTTTATGTTTTAAATTTTTATTTATTAATTTTAGAGCAAGAGGACGGGAGATAGAGAAATATGGACTTGTTGTTCTATTTATACATTCATTGGTCGCTTTAAAAAAAAGGTTTTATGTCTATATTTTTAGAGACAGGAGAAGGGAGGGAGAGAGGGAGGGAAACCTCCATGTGAGAGAGAAACAGCTATTAATTGTCTCTCCTATGTAACCCAGGCACGTGCCCTGACCGGGAACTGAACTGGCAACCTTTCGCTTTGTGGGACGGTGCCCAACCAATTGAGTCACACCAGTCAGAGCCATTGGTTGCTTCTCATATGTACCCTGAGCAGGGATCGAACTTATAACCTTGGCTCATCTGAGACGACACTCTAACCAACTGAGCTACCCAGCCGGGGTTCATCTTTAATATAGAGGATCTGGCCGAAGTAAGGCCTGCTTGAGTGTGGTTGGTAGGCTAATAGTGTGGGTGTACTAATTTCTAGTTTTATTTGAACATTTCAGAAAAGGTCATAGGGTGAGCTTGAGTGTGATACTGTTGTTGCAGAATTACATGCTTAAGATTCTGTAATAAAAAAGGAGCATTATTTGTGGCAGACCCTGTATTTTAAATACATCTTTAAAATATGTGTATCTGCTTGTATAAATCTTTCTTGTACATTTTTAAATATACAGAACTTTTTTTCAGTCATTAAACATGTATAAGATGGGAAACATCATCTTTTACGAAACTAAACAAGGTTAGGTCTAAATAAACTAAACCAGCAGTAGAAGAAAATATCATTTTTCTTGGCTAATTCACAATTGCTCAGTGCCCTCATTCTGGGCCGAATCATCATTCATGATAAAATAGAAAGAACATAGTTCAGTTTTACCTGCATAGACTTTATTACGTTTCCTGGGAAGCTCCTTTTTTGTTTGGAACCAAATTCCTAACATCAGTTCTGTTCTCATGATTTATCTCTTCCTCCTTCAAAGGGGGAAGTGAAAAATAAAAGGCCCAGTTCTCATACACACACACATATTTTTAAATGCAGCGCATGCCATGTGGATGTCACGGTGCAATTTTAACAAGAGAAAGAAGAGCGGTCTCTGAGATACCCCTGAAGTGTGCAGAACTTAGACGGGTCATTAAAACCTGCCTTGATTAACATCAAAACTTGTACCAGACTGAAGAACACACGAAAACGCTGGAACAAGCATCATTTAATTAAGCTTTCCATTCTGTGTAGGCAGGCTCGCATCTTAAAGTGAACTCCATGTAAACCCCAAGAGAGAAAGCTGAAATGATTTCATTGTAGGAGAGAGTTCAGTGAACATTTTAATTCTTATGGAGCAAAATAGATTTATAATGATAAAGCCAAACATTAGCATAAACGGTCCTATGCCAGTACTTTCCTTCGTAAGTATAATAATCAGAATTTATTTTTTTTAATTTTTTAAAAGATGTTATTTACTTATTTTTAGAGAGGAAAGGGAGGGAGAAAGAGAGAGAGAGAGAGAAACATCAATGTGCAGTTGCTGGGGGCTGTGGCCTGCAACCCAGGCATGTGCCCTGACTGGGAATTGAACCTGTGATGCTTTGGTTCGCAGCCCGAGCTCAATCCACTGAGCTATGCCAGCCAGGGCCCATTTTTTAAAAATGTCTTTGTCTGAAGGATTCAGAATGCTGGCTTGATAAACACACCTGGATGACCCTCAGCACAAACAAATTCTCCCTGTGGATCTCATAAATAGATCACGGTCAGTTCCTTCTCCATGGAGAAGTACCCTTCTTTCCACCACAAACGTCGTGTTTTCCATTCACCCATACCTTAAAAAAGTTTTTATTAAATTGATTTTAGAGAGGGAGAGGGAGAGAGAGAGAGAACCATTTATTTGTTGTTCCACTTATTGATGCACTCACTGGTTGATTCTTGTATGTGCCCTGACCGGGTATCAAACCCACAGCCTTGGTGTATCAGGACACCACCCTACCCATCTGAGCTTCCAGGCCACGGCCCTCCCCCTTTTTTTAAGTAAAAGTCATATTTTTATTGCAAAGCTGTTCAACAAATTATAGTAACTCCATTACCTAGCCTTGCACACCTTTAACAGACTCAATCACAGGGTTACACACCACAAGAAGCATTCCGTGCAATAATGGATTTCCATCACACGCAATACCACCCGAAGAACAGCACCGAATTTTAAGATCAGAAGACAAAGAAACCCAGGAACCCAGCAAGATAAATACTTACAAATACACAGTGTAGGCAACAGCAAATATTTCAACAGTGTTGATAAACATCTTCTTTCAGAGGGGGAAGCGTCCGTTGCCGGACCTACTGCTTTTTAATCCCCGCTGGACCTGGGGCCCACGCCTGCTGCACCCCCAATCCCGGCGCTGCCCGACCCGCCGCCGGAAGACACGGGAGCGGCACCGAAAACAAAACGCCGGCCGCTTCCCAGATCTTTCCCGTGACTCCCGGATGAGACACGTAAGTTGCTAGGTATACTTCAGAAGCCTGAAATTCTCATTAGTTGACTTTCAGAAACCCGTGTTGATACCCTGCTGCTATTTATAAACCACTAATGCAGGCTTCGCTTCCCTTGGTATTCCTGCAATGTTTTCATTTGTAAGAAAACCTGCAGAGAGAAGTCTGCTGGCACCAAAGCAAGGTCGCCAGGAGACAGGTCACCGTGACTAGTAAGGCCCCAGCACTCACCCTGGTCTTAAGGAAAGGGAGATGTGGTACGGAAGTGCAGCCGGATGTACCACCTGCGTATTTACCTGTGTAAAATCCATGGGTGTCTTATGTCTTGGGCATTAGAAATCTCAGATGCAAATGGACATCGGAAGAGATTTATGAAATGACTCATCTGTGATCTGATGCAGTCGTAACAGAGTGAAATATATGAAAAGCTGACCCCCATGGACAACCATTCAGCAACATATCTCGATGGCAGACCTACTCCACCAGGCAATATTTTAGGAGCCAGGGATACATTGATATGTAATATCAATGTAATAGCTATACTATATCAATAATATATAATGTCAGTATAACATATAATGTACTCATTCCTTGAACATATAGTTATTGACCTGCAACCATGACCATAATGGACCCTCACAAACACGGCCAGCCACATTTCTTTTCTTCTGCTTGTTCACTGAAAGAGTATTGAGCACCTATTAGGTGCCCGAACCTGTGTTGGTGAGGAAATGCAGAATGGCACAGAGAAACACGGCCCTAACTGGGGTCAAAGTTTTAGCCAGGTAAGCAGACATTGAATGGGTCATTGTAGTGGATCTCAACCATTTGTAAGTAGTAGAATTAATGATGCTTGATTTTTTTTTAAGATTTTATTTACTTATTTTTTCAGAGAGAGGAGAAGGGAAGGAGAAAGAGAGGGAGAGAAACATCAATGTGTGGTTGCCCCTCACGTGTCCCCAACTGGGGACCTGGCCCACAACCCAGGCATGTACCCTGACTGGGAATCGAACCAGTGACCCTTTGGTTTGCAGGCCCATGCTCAATCCACGGAGCTACGCCAGCCAGGGCTGATACTTGATTCTTGAAATGCAGCCCTGACTGGTGTGGCTCCGTGGATTGAAGGCTGCCCTGTGAACTGAAAGGTCGCCAGTTTGATTCCCAGTCAGGGCACATGCCTGGGTTGCAGGCCAGGCCCCCAGTTGGGGACCTGCAAGAGGCCTCCAATGGATCAATGTATCTCTCGCACATCGATGTTTCTCTCCCTCTCTTTCGCCCTCCCTCTTCCTCTCTCTCTAAAAGTAAATAAATAAAATATTAAAAAAAAAGAAAAATACAAGAATGAAAATGCAGACTGGCAGTCCTTCCTAGAAGCCTATCGGCCTCTCACCTTCTGAGTGGCACCTCGGGGCATTAGGTGCAGATGTTCTTAGCGGGGTTCCATGCAGAGAGTATTTACCTGCAGCTGGAATGCGTGCTGGGGAGAAGCGCGGTGCGAGGGCCAGGCGCTCTGGGCATTCCTCCGGGGGGAATGAGGTACAGCGCCTGGGGCCCATGATGCTCTTAGGGACTTAGGAAAACATTTTCATTTTAACGTCTTTTAAAGACAGAACAAAAACATTAGTATCATCATAATGAATATATAATAATATATCCAGCCTGGGTTATATTTGTTTTAATGCCAGTGAGTGCAGTTGCAAAACATAATTGTTAATATCCTTTTATGGAGGATATAGCCCACAAAGGCAAAAATACCTTTGGACCGCACTGGCCCCGATGCTTTGACCGTATATACTCAAGGGACCTGGAGGTGGTGCAGAGTTGGATAAAGCTCCCAGGTAGAAGGCACAGGGAGAACAGAAATCAGCTACACTAAAGGCAGGGTTGGCCCTGGCCTGTGTAGCTCAGTTGGTTGGAATGTGGTCCTATAAGTCAGAAGACTGCAGGTTCGATTCCCAGTCAGGGCACATTCCTAGGTGGCCGGTCCAGTCCCTGGTTGGGGGTGCACAAGAGGCAACTGATCAATGTTTCTCTCTCACAGCAATGTTTCTCTCCCTCTCCCTTCCTCCCTCCCTTCTCCTCTCTCTGAAAATAATAAACATGTCCTTGGATACAATGAGGATTAAAAAAATAATAATAAAAGGCAGGGTGGGAAGAAATAAGCAGGGAGAAGTTGGAAGAAGGAAGAAATTTCTAGGCAGAGGAAATCATGTATGCAAAGGCCCTGTGGCAGGAAGGAGCAGAGAGTGTGAGGAACTTACTCAAGGCTTACAGACGAAAGACTAAAATACGGGTCTGTTTGCTTACTCCCTCCTTTGTCTGACCCCCAGTTTGCTCCCGAGAGATGAACCTTTCAGATGGATTGATTTTTGTCTTATTGATTGGCAAAGCGTGCGTTGCTGTCTACTTTTAGTGATTTTTTATGCTTATAACCATCTAGATTCTTGTCTTTTCCTAGATTTGGGGGTACTTCTGAAAAAAGAAAAGAAAGAAAACATTCCATGCTTCTGCATACAGAATGAATCAACTTCTTTGTCTTCCAGAAGTGTTCTTGGTTTCTTTCATACTGACACTTGATAGCTAAGCAAGACAGTCAAGTTGTCATCACTGGTGCTACTGCCTGGAAGAGTCTCAGATGCTTTATGTCTGGTTATAAGAATGTTCGTGAAGCCCTGGCTGGCGTAGCTCAGTGGACTGAGCTCGGGCTGCGAACCAGGCATTGTAGGTTCGATTCCCAGTCAGGGCACATGCCTGGGTTGCAGGCCACAGCCCCCAGCAATTGCACATTGATGTCTCTCTCTGTCTCTCTCTCTCTCCCTCCCCTTCCCTTCCCTCTCTAAAAATAAATAAAATCTTTTTTAAAAAATGTTTACAACTTTGTTACTGTTTCATTAAAAGAAAAAAAAGAATGTTCGTGAAGACTTTGGTTTCACCATACTTCCTCCCTTCTGGGAGGCGAGGGCGAAACAAAGCCGTGATACTGTGATTCTCATTTAGCATCACACTCGGCCCTTGCAGCCCAGGGCACGTGCAGTTAGCCACGCCCTCATGTCCTACGGGGACCTCCTGTAACCAACGCCCCCCCTTATAACATCAGGGAGGGCTAGGAATTGTGACAGGTCTGAAGGGGCGACTGCGTTCTGCTTCAGCCGGATGGGGCAATGCTGGTCTGCTATTGATGAATCTTCTGCTTTTTCGAAAGAAACCAGGAGTCTGGGTTTCTATGTGGAGTCTCTCAATATCCTAAATGCCACAGACCAACCAAAATGCACCTGCAGCCACATTCAGCTCGGGAGCCTCAAGTTCAGGGTCACTGCTGTGGCTTCGCACAAGGCCAGGGGGCACCCTTCCTGGAGCAGTGCCTTGGAGTGGGCCAACATGGCCGCCTTGGCTCCGAATCACACCTACTCATTCAATTGTTTTTCATTGTTACGAGTTTATTTGAGCCAAACTGAGGACCATTGCTGGGAAGCAAGATCGCAATCCCCCAACCTACTCCTTGTCAACCCCACTAGACTTGAGGCCCACGCTCGCCCCAGTCTCTGTCCAAAGGGTGCCTGGCCCATTCCACAAGCACCCCCTGAATATCTGTTGAATGAATGAAGATCTTGTTGATCTGCCAGGTGGCCCTGGCTCTTCCTCTCCTTCTGAAACCTTCCTAAGCAATGCCATCTATCTGTCCTGTCTCCACAGCTGTCTGACCTTGGGCCGCTTACTTAACCTCTCTGCTTTTCTGCTTTCTCATCTATCAATGGTAATAGCTTAATCTTGTTGTGAAAACTGATTAGTTAATATGGATAAAACGCTTAGAACATGGTCTGGCACCTAATAAGTACTCAATACATGCTAGCTGGTATTATTTAATCATATCTTAATCATTGTATATTTTGTGTTTCTTTCAATTACATTGAAAAATCCTTTATGTCTGATTCTATGACTTACTAAGTTTCTCTCACAGCAATTAGCATGATGCAACCTTCAGAGTACTACTCAATACATAGTAGAGAAGAGATAAAAATAAATTTTAGCAACTTTATTAATTAGGATCAGAATCAGTTGTGAATAACAGAAAAACAAAATGAGAGTTTATTTCTTCCCTCATGGCACTCCATCACTCAGGAACTGAGCTCTTTCAATCTTACTGTTCCACATCCTTTCATGGGACTTCTGCCACATGACCCAAAAGAGCTGCTGAAGCTCCAGCCATCAGACCACATTCCAGCAAGTAGGAAGAATGGGAGAGGTCAGGAAAGGAGACATGTCTCTTTAAAGACATTTCCAGGAAGTCATATGCCACTTCCCCTTATAAACCACTGGTCAGAATGTGGTCACATAGCTACCCTCAGGTGCAAAGGAGGACAGAAAGCATACTCTTTTACCTGGGTAGTCAAGTGCCAACTAAAAATTGGGAATTTTATTGCTGAGGGAGAAGGAGAAATGGACGATGGGGCAACTAGCGGTCTCTGTCCTGGCAGCTGTGTGATAAATGAATACCACAAAGAATGGGTGGGAATGGTTTCTGTCCCCTTCAAGGAAGCTGGTAGCTCGGGCCTGGCTGTGATTTTTGTAAAAGCGCTGCTTCATCCTTCACTTAAAATTCTAATGCTCCTTTAAGAACTGAAGGCTTTTTATTCACAAATGTCAATGTTCACTTCTAATGGAACTCCCTAAGGAAGAAAGACGTATACATAAAACCAGTGGATTGAGAACATTTTACAGAAGTTTTCTTCTTATGGCCAATTTCAAACACATACCAAAGTAGAGAGAAGAGTAAGTGAACCTCCATTTACTCATGCTACAGCTTCAACAGCCGTCAGCTCATGAAACTCTGTGTCCTCTGGACCCCACACCCTCCACAATGTTATTCATAACTGAATTTACTGGGGCGACACTGGTTAATAAAATTGTACAGGTTTCAGGTGTACAATTCTGTAATACATCATCTGTATATAGTGTGTTCACTCCCTCATGCTATGTTATTTTAATTCAATGTATTTTATTATTTTTTAAATTTTTTAAATTTTATTTATTTATTAAATACAATTTAATAAATTTTTTTAACAGAGGGGAAGAGAAAAAGAAAGAGAGGGAGAGACACATCAATGTGTGGTTGCCTCTCACACACCCTGTACTGGGGACCTGGCTTGCAACCCAGGCAATTGCCTTGACTGGGAATTGAACCGGCAACCCTTTGGTTCACAGGCCTGTGCTCAATCCACTGAGCTACACCAGCCAGGGCAAACACTATGTTATTCTGATGCAAATCCTTGATGTCATATAATTTTTTAAAGATTTTATTTATTTATTTATTTATTTATTTTTAGAGAGTGGAAGGGAGGGAGAAAGAAAGAGAGAAACATCAATGTGTGGTTGCCTCTCACATGGCCCCCACTGGGGACGTGGCCTGCAACCCAGGCATGTACCCTGACTGGGAATCGAACCTGCGATGCTTTGGTTTGCAGCCCATGCTCAATTCACTGAGCTATGCCAGCCAGGTGATGTCATATAATTTTTTAAAATCCTTACCTGAGGATGTGTTCATTGATTTTAGAGAGAGAGAGAAACATCAATCAGTTGCCACCCATAGGTACTCCGACCAGGGATCAAACCCACAACATAGGTGTGGACCCTGAACGGGATCAACCCCACAAACTTTTGGTGCACAAGATGCCGCTCCAACCACCTGAGCCACCCGTCCAGGGCTAGGCGTCGTGCATTTTCAGCTTCAGTAGCCCCTCTCCTTTTGCACAGGGCACAGATTCTAAGACCCCCATAGACGCCGGAAACCGCAGCCAGTGCCACACCGTATGTACGCGGTGTTTCCTACACATGCATATCTAGGAGGAAGTCGCATTTATAAATTAGGCACCATAGGAGATTACCAACAGTAACGAATAATACAGTAGAACAATTATAACAATGTACTGTAGCAACAGAGATGGGGATGTGGGCTCTCAAAAATGTTACCATCTTGGACTCAGCCCTCTGGTGACGTGAGCTGAGTGACGCAGGCATTGTGAGGCAGCGTTAGGCTACGTACGGTAAGGGCCACTGAAGGACCAGCGGGCAGGGGGCACACACCGAGTGGACACACTGGACAGAGGGACGGTGCGTGTCCCAGGCAGGATGGAGCGGGACAGTGTGAGATTTCATCACATTGCTCACAACTGCATGCAACAGAAAACATACAGCCCTGGCTGGTGTGGCTCGTGGATCGAGTGCCACCCTGCAAACAAAAGGGTCACTGGTTCAATTCCCAGTTGGGACACATGCCTGGGTTGTGGGCCAGGTCCCCAAGGGGGGGGCGCGTGAGAGGCAACCACATGTTGATGTTTCTCTCCCTCTCTTTCTCCCTCCCTTCCCCTCTCTCTAAAAATAATTAAATAAAATCTTAAAAAAAAAAAACTTACAAATCCTTTATCTAAGGAATTTTCCATATACTATTTTCAGACTGCTGTTGACTGTAGGTAACCGAAACCATGAGACGGGAGACGGCAGACCAGGGGTACCAAGGCATGGATATTTCAGGATCTCTGAAAGATCAAGTCTTCCCTGGAGAGCAATACTGCAATATCATTATCACACTTTACAGCATTAGCCATAAGTCTTTAATATCATCAAATATTTTTGCCAGTGTTTAAATTTCCCTGTCTCACAGGTGTTTTTTTTTTTTTAAAGTTCATTTGTTGGATTAAGAATCCAGCCCTGGCTAGTGTGGCTCAGTGAATTGATCACGGCCTGCGAACTGAGAGATCGCCGGTTCGATTCCCAGTCAGGGCACATGCCTGGGTTGTGGGCCAGGTCCCCGATTGGGCGCATTTGAGAGGCAATTGTTTCACTCCCACAGAATGATGTTTTTCTCCCTCTCTTGTCTCTTTCCCTTTTCCCCTCTCTAAAAATAAATAAATAGCCTTGGCTGGTGTGGCTCAGTGGATTGAGTACCCACCTGAGAACCACAGGGTCATTGGTTTGATTCCCAGTCAGGGCACATGCCTGGGTTATGAGCTGGGTCCACAGTGGGGGAAGCACAAGAAGCAACCACACATTGATGTTTCTCTCCATCTCTTTCTCCGTCCCTTCCTCTCTGTCTAAAAATAAACAAAGTCTTAAAAACAAACAAACAAACAAAGAATCCAAACAAGGCCTCTTCAGGGCTGCTGGTTGACATGTCTCTAAGTCTCTTTTAATCTATAGCTACACAGTTCAGCGCAGTGGCCACCAGCCACATGTGGCTATTTAAATAAATTAATATTCATAAAGTAAGAAACTCAGTTCTTCAGGCGCACAGGCCACGTTTCAAGGGTTCCATAGCCACACGTGACTAGTGCCTACTAATGCAGACACAGAACATTCTCATCACTGCAGCTCTGTGGGATGGCCCTCGCAATTTAACTTTTGAAGAAACGGAGGTGTCTGTCCTGTAGAAGTCCCCACATTTTAAAAGAGATTTTTTAAATTTATTTTTAGAGAGAGGGAAAGGGAGGGAGAGAGAGAGGGAGAAAGAGAGGGAGAGAAACATTGAAGAGCCCCAACCAGTGACCTAACCAGCAACTCAGGCAGGTGCCCTGACCAGGAATCGAACCGGTGACCCTTCACTTTGCAAGACGATGCCCCACTACCTGAGCCACGTGTCAGGGCAAGGCTCCCACGTTTTGAACTCTGCTGAGTCCAATCCTTTGTGTCATGTAACATGTTTCTTCTCTGTACACCTGTAAACCAGGAGTTAGAACAAAACAGTCACAGGGAT